CGTCTGTGAGCAACACTAGCGCCTAAACAATGCGCAGGATTTCTTCCATAGGGAATACCTTTCCCGATTGATCTGACCCCACCCCACTCAAAGCTCTGCAAATTTGAAAAATATTCTTTCAGTTTTTGTAGGTACTTTACTTGAAGTTCCAGGGGCATTTTAAAAAATTTCCCAAAAATGACTTCAAATTTTTTCTTTGATTTGTTTGTAGCAATGGGCAAAATACACTCATAAAGATGGCATAGGTCTGATTTTCACCGTTAACTCTGAATTTTGCAAAAGTTTGCAATTTTTTCGGCGTCTTCCTACAACTAAAAAATTGAAGATAGAGATTTTTCCTTCAAACACACTTTGTTTTCCATATATATATTTCATTCATTACGGTTTTGAGTTTTTTAATGTAGTACTTTTTGCGCAATGTTAAGTACAATATCAAAAACAAAAGTTCTCAAAAACGGCTTCAAATTTTTCTTTAAACTTTTGATGGGAATGGTGATAAATATATTGTAACAGATGATGTAAAAGCCATTTTGCTATTTTCTTTTGTTTTTATAAAAAAACATTTTTATTACATCACTCTCACATCGATAGTATTTACATTACCGGCGATTTGTATACATTATTGCATTCATGAGTGTGATACAAATGATGTCTTATAAATTTTCTCGAAAAATCAGATGTTTTATGTAAAAATGCGCTCAAAATTTCGCATTTTCAGAAACACGCAAATGCCACTTCCTCGAAAACAGCTCCAATTTGTTTTCTTTACATTTTTTGAACAGATAGTGCTAAATGGACTGAATAACTTGACATAAATATTATCTTTCTTTGTTTCAAAAAATACTTAAATGTGTTTGTTTAAATATTTTTCCAACGTTAACATTTATATAACCAGGGATTGTATACATTATTGCATTTGTGAGTCAAAGTGCTTCAAATGATTTTAAATTAAATTTCTCTAAAAATCGTTGAAACAATATGTACACACCTTTCCGATTCTTTTCCAATTGCATGTGGAGTTCCACGGGGATCGATTTTAGGCCCAATTCTCTTCCTACTATACGTAAACGATATGCCCTCGACGATTAGAAACAAGAACAGTTCTCAGTGCGGAATATTCTTTGCAATAAAGAAACTAGTACCAAATTGTTAAAATAGTTCATTTCAAATTGGTTCCGTAATAACATATTAATATTAAATGAAAAGAAAACGGTTTCAATGCAGTATTCCGTTTCAAATAAACAGCTCTATACTCCTTTGAAAATGAACGGTGTGCCATTGTCTCATGTTACGGTAACAAAATTTGTAGGTCTTTCAATTCAGTCCAACCTTTATGGAACGTCCATTTAAATGAATTGAACACTAAATTAAGTTCTTTATGCTACGCTTTCAGAATTCTTTCAAATTCAGTCAGCCTCCACACTGCTCGTTGTGTATGTGTCACAATTGTTCATTCTGCGATATGGCATAATCTTCTGGAGAAATACATCTTATAGCTCCCAGACTTTTAGATTACAAAAAAGAATTGTACGAATAATGAGCAAATCCCACCCACGTTATTCTTGTAAACATCTCTTTATTAATCTAGGTATTTTACCATTACCTTGTCTCTTGATTAATGAATCAGTTTTCTGTCAAAAATTACTTAGTTGCTTTATTTAGTCAAAAAAAAACAGTAAAAACTGTGGGTGACGTATGGGAGAGATTCGCGAACGATTCTTGAGTTCCAGAATCCCTAACCGCCATTTCAACTATAAATATTTGAAAGATGAGTAAAAGTTAAAAATAAATAAATAAAAATACATTTTTAAAAAGCGTGAGATTAGCAATATTTGAAAAAATAGACATTTTCGTTTCCGAGTTATAGAAAACTTATTTGCATCGGTAAACAAATTGCAAGTATGATTTTTCGGCATTGCTAACAAAATAGTAACTCGCCCTTACCTCTATTCCTACCATTACAAGCAAAAGAAGAGTTCAACAAAACGTGCGTATAGTGAATCTACATTTACGTCTAAAAGCAAAACAAGGAGCCATCTCAGCATTTGCTCAATGGATCAGGGAAACTGGACACAAACTTGATAGAGATGGGACAAAACTTGATTAAGATGACTTAAGGACGGGAATATATTTTCAGCAAACGCTAATGTATATAACTACAACACTCGACGTAGTAATCATATTCACCAGGTGACAGTATCAACAGCTCACTAAAAAATTTACATACAATACATGTACATTATTTTACAACATATTGCCAGATGACATTAAATGATTAAATTCGATACAAAAGTTTAAGTCCCAAGTAAAATATTTTCTGCTGCACAACTGTTTTTATTCAATTAGATACTATACTGAGCATGCAAAAGTAAAGTAATATTAATTTAACAACAAAATTTTGTGTATTATTTATCATTTGGATTGTGTAATTGTAAAGAACCTGTAACAAGTACTCGTACTGTACTACAGCTTCTGGGTCAATGACACCAATCTCGATCAGGTTTTCGTCCTGTTTCCCCGATCCTTGAGCAAATGCTGAGATTGCCCCTTGTTTTGCTTCTGGACATAAATGTAACTTCAAATTAACTTCTTCCCATATCACGTCATACACACATGCAGTTTTAAACTATTTTTGACGTAAAGAAATAAACTCAAACATTTTCTGTGAAAACGATCTTCAAATTTCGCATTTACAGAAACGCTTAGACGACATTTTCTCAAAACAGCTTAAAACTGTTCAAGAAAAATTGCCGTATAGGACTAAGTTTTACTTTTCTATAATATTCTTAAAATAACGTATCAGTATTAGGAAATTGAAAAATTGAGTAAATGTGAAAAAAATGTACTTCGGGCGGTGATGGCAGCTGGGAGGCAAAAACGAAAATGTAGCTCACGCCAAAGGAATTAGAAAATTAACTACTACGACAACGTCTGTGCCATTCTGCTGCACCACTAGGTTGCAGTTTTATAAAGAAGTTGTAGTACCATCCCACATCGGTTCCAGTATTAAATGCCCATCTTCACATTTTTGACAATTTTCTGCGTGTTGGTTCCATTCTAGAAAGTGGTTTTGAGGATCATTCTTACTCCCAAAATTTTCAAATTATATGTTTCTAACTAGCTGCAGTTCCCCGCATTGCCCGCGTATTTTTTTCATCACAATGGTCTATTAAACAGTAAAGTGAATACAGTTTATGTACCGCCCCCTTCCATCGCGGCCGGCGCTTGCCGTCCCGCCGTCCAACAGCACCTGTCCCTCCTCGTCGTTCCCCACGCCACGTCGCCCTGCCTCAACTAGACTGACCGCCCCGCCCCTTCCCGCCTTGCCTTCTTTGCTGCGGCAGTCGTTGCATTTTTGCGTGGTCGGGGGGGGGGGAGTCGCAATATCGTAGGGTGTTCTATTTCTTAACTCTTTCTTAGATATTTAGTGTATTATTTACCATTTGGATTGTATAATTCTAAAGAACCTGTAAGAAGTACTGCACTTCAGCTTCTGGGTCAATGACCCCCATCTCGATGAAGTTTTCGTACAGTTTCCCTGATCCTTAAGCAAATACTGAGATGGCTCCTTGTTTTGCTTTAGTTTTTAACATTTAACACAGCTTTTAACTATTTTTGACGTAAATAAATACAGAAGTTTCTTCTAACACTCTGTGTAATCATAATACATGTTTTGTGGGTCCTTGAAACCGGTAAATCGATTGACGTCAAAACTTTTTTCCGTCCGTCATCTGTCTGTCTGACTTTCCATCCGTTCGTCCGTCTGTGATACCCATAACGATCTGAACGAACTCGAGACCCTGCGTGTTTGAAATGGATATTTTTATTTTTATTTTTGGAGAGATTTAACGTCATTTTCATTTTTTTCTAAATGGCTGCAATTTTTTTATTAAACTTTTTCCTAAGATAGCGTAAAGGACATTGAAAAAAACGGATGTCTTCCTACAACCACAATATTGGATATATATGGATTTTTTTACTGAATGTAAGTTGTTGTTCAATGGCAGATCCTTTAAATACGGTCATTTCAGTTTTCTGAAAATATAAGTAGTTTCCGAGTAATTGTGTGTTAAAAATATTTTTACTTTCTTATTTAACTGCTCCAAATATTTTCTTTCGATTTTTTCGCATATAGCGAGCAATAGACGATAAACAAGTGGTGCTTTCGGTGAACTATATTTTTAAAAACCTGTAAATAATTAACACTTTAAAAGAACAAATTTTGTTCAAAAAGTTCGTTAAAAAAGCCTTGTACGTTTTGTTGAAAAATCAATTAGTTTTCGCTTAATTTCTGTTTGAAGTGAATGTAATTTATAGTTGTTTTTTTCTTTCAAAAACGAGTCTTAATTTTTTCTTCAATCCCCCCCAAGAGAGAGCAAGTGACGGTAAAAAAGAACAGTCTCATTTTCTTTGAACTCTATTGAATTTTCGAAAGTTTCAAAAGTTAAAATTAGTGCGAGAAAGTACGTGTTGTAGTCACTAGTTGTGCATACGAAACATGAAGCAAGTCACGGCCTTTTGATATTCTTTTTAATTTGCGTGGTATTTGGTGGTATTATTGCACTACCAATATAGGTGGTACTGCTTCGGACTCAGTTCTGTTCTTTATTCAACATAATTCTCTCTTTTGAAATGGTGGACTTCCTTCAAATTTCGCACATTGAATCTTGGAGATTGTATCTATCCAAGGAATATATTTTAAAAAAATTGAATGGTTCGTTTTCTCATCATTTTACAATTTCTTGTCAGCCCTCAGTTTTCAATCAGAGCCCATGCTAATAGGACAAAATATACGATCTTATTACTGAAAAACTAGACAAAGAAATCGGTTCATACTCTACCGGTGCATAAAACTCTCATCTTTTGATTGTAATAATAGAACTATATAACTAATACTAAAAAACGGGCTTGTAAAATGAATCACGTACAGTATCTCATTTTAACCACCTCAAGGGTTAGGGAGTTTCGTACTTCTTGAAAAATTTGAACAAAATTTCATCAGAACAAGAGATTTTTTAATTGAAACTGCAGAAAATATATCAATAACAGGTTCAATTTGTTACATCTGGATACAGTTTGTTAATCATGTCCTTCCCACGCACATCAGCTTGCTCAAGTTGGCGGCGTTGGCGTCTGTTTAGCAGTCCACCCACAATCAGACAGCTGCACACGGCATGGGGAGCGCAAGCGCAATTTAACCTTAAAACTACGTCGGTTGTTGTATAGAGCAAAGAGATAATGTTGCCGGTCGCGTGGATGCGTGCTGCGAAGTATTCCCAAGTCAAGGTAAAGCAAAAGGGGTATGATAACATAAATTTGGATAGATATGTGTGTGAATCTACATGTTTCGTGTGCATTATCTAGAATGCTGTGCGATGCTATCGTCTTCTTGAAACTAATTCTGCTGCCGGTCAACTGCTAGCATATAGATGGAAGTCTTCGACACCAATAAACACAGTAATATTGTTTGTCCCGCAACAAGAAGTAAGTTAACGTCAGTAACTTGGTTATATTGACATACAGTGAATGATTAAGGACTGCATTATACAGAGTAGTCTGTTCACCGAAAAGTTAATTTTAAGTGCACTTCTCTATTGTTTTTTTTTCTTTTTTTTTTTAATTAATGTCAATTGTAATGCAATTTTATATACATTTTTGCATTGTTGATTATCGAATCCTAATAGGCATGGATTGTAGAAAGGATGGGAAAATTCCATCGTATTCTGGAACCAGGTCTAAATGTATTGGTACCTGTAGTTGACAAAGTGAAATATGTACAAAGTTTGAAAGAAATTGCAATTGATGTACCAAAGCAAAGTGCAATTACTTTAGGTAAGTAGGTTTTAAAAAAAGTGGTTGTTTGTTTTTCAATTTTGATATAATGCTCAACAGAAATTTGAGGTTATTTTCTTTTTTTTTTTCTAGACAATGTTACATTAAGTATCGATGGAGTGCTGTACTTAAGGATAGTAGACCCATATTTAGCTAGTTATGGAGTAGAAGATCCTGAATTTGCTATTACCCAACTAGCACAAACTACCATGAGGTAGTGGCATCATTTTAAATTCATTATTTATGATCTTTCTGAAAATGACATGACATGATAATTATGATTTTACAGGTCAGAATTGGGGAAAATATCATTAGACACAGTGTTCAGAGAAAGAGAAAGTCTGAATGTGTCAATAGTAGAGTCGATAAATAAAGCTAGTGCTGCATGGGGAATCCAATGTCTTCGCTATGAAATTCGTGAGTATTAATTTTTAAATTATAATGTCAATGGTTCATGTAATTTTCAATTAAACTAAATTGTACATTAAAGTTCAATTTATTGTTAAAACACTTATTATTTGTTGAGTAAAATGAAGTAAATTAGTTGTCAATTTATGTGCTAAATCAAAATAGAATCATCAGGAAGTCTAGAAGTAACAGAACGAGGGTTTTCAAAGATATGATGGTGTGTTCTATAGATTTTTTTGTGTTGTTTTAATGTAATGTTTTTATTGTACTGATTTGAGTTAGAATCAAAGGATAATGTATTTTACTGTCTGCTTGCCTTTTACGAAAATGTAGAAATTAATCTGATTGATTATGAATTCAGTACCGTATTACAAATTTTGGGTACGGTGCTGACTTCAGACACATTATTTGATATGAATGGCCATTAAACATGTATCCTCATTATAGGATGCTAGTTAGATGTCCTGCATCCTCATTATAGGACACATCATTGTGGTGAATTTTAAATTATGTATAGTGATTTTCTACATTCAATGAAAAGATCTACGTATGCTAAGATGTTTATATTTTCTAATTTCTTTTGAAAGATTATTTCAGAAAGGGGGATTTCTAAGATGGTATATTCTGATGTGTTACATCTTGCACATCAAAGTAAATTCTTGATTAATAATAATTAGGGGGTGGATTTTAATGAAATGTCATATTTTTTTCTTCTCACTTGAGAACAATGCAGTTTAGTATAGAAATTCATTTTATCTCATGACAAATGACGAATTTTTATTGAATTTTTTTTTTGCATTTTTTGTCCATTTCAACTAATGAGTGAATTTTCACATGATTTTTAAAGCATTTGATCTTAACATCATTTTAAAGGTACTTGCTTTAAACAATATTTACGAAATGCAACAAATGTTCATCAAAGAAGTTGTGTAATTTGTGTGTGTATTGTAATGTCAACTGTTGTGAGCACTGTGTAATCTAAGGTTGCTGTGACATCTGTCTGTGTCGTTGTCAAGTTCACTTGAACAGAAGAAAGAAGGCTCGATTACATCAGTAACATATCCAACAGCTTAATGTGTTGGTTGATCTGGGCTGTCCGGGTGACGCCGCGTCGAAGGCTGAGTTGCCGACGTTTCGACCATCCTGTCGTGGTCTTCCTCAGGGCTGGTATGCATCGGCAACTCAGCCTTCGACGCGGCGTCACCCGGACAGCCCAGATCACCCACATGACTCTGGTCGCGGAAGCCTACGACTTCAGCTTAATGTGTACATCTGAATTGGTTTTGATCAATTTTTTCCCCCATAATTTTTCTTTGTTTTTAGGGCAATTTTAAAACATTGTAAGAGCATTTTATTGATTTTTTTTTGGCAATGTTGTAGGTCATCAAGAAAAAAAAATATATACATATATATTCATATGTACATATATGTAAACAAACGTGTCATTTTAAGTTATAAACTAATAAATTACACGATACTCTATAATACATTGTTCAAATTCAAAACAAATTCATGTTTAATATAAACTGAACGCTGCAAGCTCTCTAAATATTGTATGTGAAACGAAAAGAGACATAGCAATAATTTTTGCTGAATGAAATTTGATTTGATGAGTTCCCAAAATGTGCGCACATCACTTATTATAGGGTCTACGCATGTGCACGTTAGGACTACACTGGTATTCAATAATATAACTTTAAACTGCAGGTAGAGTTTTTCTCCACCTGCCATCATAGTCAGTTGAGACATGTTTGTCTGAGCTCGCAGGGCCAGAGCTGAGCAGAAAAATGCTATTGAAGAACTAAAGCAACGAGAAATGGAATTAGAGAAATGGAGTCGGTATGAGAGAGCCAACAAAGAGGGGCTGAGGATTTAATAGCACTGAATAAGGAAACTAGTGGTGCTACAGAATGGCACTGACTTTCTTGAACTAGTTAGTTTTCTAATTTCTTTGGTCTTGGCAAGCTTTTCAGACTAGCCACATACTTTGGCCAGCTGCCATCAACAGCCACCCAAAGTACGTTTTTGACCTCTCTTCAATTTTTTGGTTACCGAATGGTGGAACCGAAATATTACCGACGAGTAAAACCAGGCCATATAAGGAAATTTGGAAATATTTAAGAGTTACTAAAAGTGCGAAATTAGTAACTTTTTCACAGAAATCTTTTTTATTTATTGTAGTCATTTGAAGCACTTTCACACTACAAAGCAATAATGTATAATAATTGCTGGAAGTGTGCATATTACAGGTGAGAGATATTTCAAAAAAAAATATGTTAGTGTAATTTTTTTTAAAAAAACAAAGTATACAGCAATATTAATTTTATGTCATGCAACAGTGCAATTTGCAACTGGCATATGAAAAGTTTGAAGAAAATTTGGAGCTGTTGAGAAAATGGCATTGAAGTGTTTCTGAAAATGCGAAATTTTGAAGTCATTTTTGTAGAAAAGGTTTGAGTTTTTAAGGTCTAGAGATCTAGGTGGCATTTCTTTGGATCTTTACCTGCCAATAATTTGACCATAAAAGGAATTGTTATTCGTTTCACACATTAATGCATAATGTGGTGGAGCACCATAAAGTTGAAAGTCCAGTAAATTGAAATTGTCATTATTCATTTGTAGCCCGGGGATGTGACAATAGGTAGCTTACGTTTCCAGATATTTCTTTTCATTGATAATGCCATAAAAAAAAGGCCCAATAAGTCCATGGCATGAGATTCCACTCCAAACAGCAACACCACGTTGATTCAGCTTCTTCTCAAACACAATTCTATGGTTCTCTACACCAGTAGGTACAGTTGTGTCCACTAATGTTAATGAATAATTTGAAAGCAGCCTCATCCCTCTAAATTATTTTAGGAAATAACTCTTGTGCACTCTCTTTTCATTTAATATAATCTCACAAAAATTAACCCTACAATGAGGATTGTCTTCCAGTGTTTTTTTAGTGGGCTCAGAGCCTAAATTGATTTCACTGCAGGGCCTCTGAATGAGAGGTCCCAGGGTTCAAGTCCGAATGGTAGCAGGATTTTGGACGCTAGCTATGTAGTTAGAGCTGCATGGACAAGAATTCTTGCAGCCGGCTGCTCCAATCAGTAGTTTCCATGGTTTCTCTGATCAACTCCCGGCGAATATCAGAGCAATTCCCTAAGAAATATGCCACAGACTGCATGTGATCTATCCTCACCCCTTACCTACACTTTTGTTTGATGACAACCAGTCAACGTAAGCATCATATCCACAGACTCCCAAGTTATATGCAAAAAAGTCCATATACTTCAATTGTAGTTTGTACTTGTACTATTGTACTTTCTGTTTTTAAACTATTCCTTTTATGAAGCCCTCAAGAAAATTGAAAAGAATGTGTTCTGCTCCTGTTTCTCGGGCACATAGCAAGTATGCCAAGAGATAGAAATGTCAAAATAAAATATTGTTAAATCACGCCACAAGTGGCGAGCCAACAGCAATTTAAAATTGCTGCTAAACAAAGAAAAATGTGCTACTGGTGAAGAAAAAAAAATGATCTAGGTTCTACCTATTCTGTATGATCTTCAACATTATGTCCTACTAATTTACTTCATCGCTAACCCATTTTCTGACCTCATCTCTGTTGAAACTTTTCTCATAAAACTCTGATTTGGGTTCTGAGATGAATGTTTGATACATTACACTTTTGAGACAAAATTATTTTACTTGAATTTTCTAAATTGACAATAGATAAACTATTTTGATTGGTTTTGTTGATATTTACTGAATTACTGGATAAAAAATATACAATTATTCAAAATGAAAAATTAAATTGTAATTATTAAATTGTTTCTAGAATAAGGAGTTTGTTGAGTGTCACTACTAACAGCTAGTAAATCAAGATGTCACTTAAGGCAGTTTCCCCCCCTCCTCACAATACCAATGCAACACTAATATATGTTTTATAATAATAAATTAGGAATAAATGAATTCTTTGGTTTCTCTTTAGAATAATATTTCAATTTCCTCCTTATGGCAAAAGGTGCCAGAAAATATTATGCCAGATTTGCAAATTGTCAATGTTGAACTAGGATAGGTACAGGAGAAAGTCTAAATACTCTGGAGTAATCATGTTTAAATTGCTGTAGTGGATTTCTATTAATGAGAGCTAGATGTATGTGTAAGCAATTGATTTTGAACCATTTCCAAGGTTTAGTTTTTATGAAAATCATTACATGATGTACAAAAAGTTCAGTTGACATTGGAGTGTGACTCCTTCACACTTATTATCCAGTATTTCTTTATTTTAAATTGCTCACCATAAACATTTTGGACTGTAAATCAGTATAGGAAAATAAGATTGGAAATTATCTGTTATGTAGTGGTGGTGGAATTATGTAGTGGTTGAATATTAATTTTGCAAATAATAAATATTATCAACTAATTTTGTGTTGTTATACCTGAAGAAACCTGTTGACATTCAGTTTTTAAAAATATTTGCTAAAAATATAAAAATATTTTATTTTATTTTTTTTTTCTTTTCTTTTTTTTCTCTTCTGTTTGAAAGGTGACATCAAGTTGCCTTCCAGAGTCCAGGAAGCTATGCAAATGCAAGTTGAAGCAGAGAGAAAAAAGAGAGCTGCCATCTTGGAATCTGAGGGAATTCGGGAAGCCGATATTAATGTAGCTGAAGGCAAGAGACAATCAAAAATTCTGGCATCAGGTATTATCATTTACTTCCTGCTTGTATCTAAGATAATCTTTTTTCTTGATGATTCACTTCAGATTTTGGTTTGAAATATGAAATGGAAAAAATAATTATTTCTTGATATGACAAAGGAAATAACATGAGATTTCAATTGATGCATTGATTCTGAAATGGTCATGTATGTTTCATTGTGGGAAAATACTAATTATGAGATTTAAAAAAAAAATCTGGATGTAATTTATTTGTAACGAAAATGCTATAAGTAGGTTATCTACTAATGGGAGAGTTGCTTGTTAAAGATACAAAGAATCATGCTCCTGAAAGGTTTTGGTTACTGTTTTAGCAGATTAGTGAAATTTATGTGGAAAAACATGATGAAGGGAACTTGCTGATAAGATTCCATACCATTCTGAATAAATCCATTCTCCAATCAAGTAAAGTTGTCTATGAAGTCCTCATAATTGCTGATCAGAAAGATATATTGTAATCTGAAAGGGATCCATGAATTCACAATCCAACTAGGGCTGATACACCTGTACCTTCGTGCTGTATTTTCACGCAAATTTATGCAGAAAATACTAAAATTTTTGAAAAATTGTGCATAACCTTATTTAAAAATCTATCTTTAAGGAACAGATTTCATTAAGGGGAAAAAATTGCAAAATCTTCAATATTATAGTTGTAGGTAGACTGAAAAACGTTTTGCAATTTTAAACAAATCCAGGTTTTCAATGAACATGAGACCTGCAGCATTCTCTTAAATGTCATTCACACTATCCAACAACAATGACAACAACAAAAAACAAACAATGATGGATCCAATTTTTGAAAATGTCCAAGAGAGCTTCTAGCATTGTTCACACACTGACGGACAGACTGACAGGGAGCCGGACAGACATGTTTTGCCATTATTCGATATTTTGCTATTAAGGGCCCACAAATCAATGATTCTGGCTACACCATGTGTTAAGGAGGGGGGGGGGGAATTAAGCAACTGGATTTATCCATTTTTTCGTTACCAGTGTCCTGAAAGTATTTTTTGCGGAAAATTCGCCGTTTTCTTGCGCTGCATTACATATTCGTTTCTCTCTACTCTCTAGCGAGAAAGTGAAAACAGGAAATAATTATGGAATTCCATTGCTCTGGAAGGGGGGGGGGTCAGGAAATTCGAAGAAGAATTATTAAAAGGCATCAATGAAAAAAAATTTGAGAAGGCTAAATAACTAGATATTATTCCTTAAAAGTTTGTGCAGCAAAAAATAGTGACCCAATTTTTATTTTTTTTAGTCTTTTTGTTCTTTTTTGTACTCTTGTCACTGTAAAATCAGAGACCTGACAAATTAGTATCAGGTTTCCTTTAGTATTTAAAAATATTATATGATAAACTCCACAAATCTTATCAGAGAAAAAAATGGGTCTGCTAAACCAGAAAAAGTCAAAGTTGTTCCAAGAAATAAGTGGCCACTCTGAATAACTACAAAGTGTTTTCCAAATTCGATTTTTAAAGTTCTGATACTAACTTTTGAATTACCATCAAATTTGTGTAATTAATCAGCCTGACAGCAATTTACATTAGTGCAGGAGAACCGAACTTTTCAATTTCTCACTCTTCTTTAGAAGAGAAAGTTAGGTAATGTATGCCAGAAAACTGGGAATTTTCTTTCTGTAAAATTCTTATTGCCGAGCCCTGGTACTGAAGAAGTGGATAAGTCTCGTTGATACGTAATAGTAAATTACTTCCTCTCACATGTGTAGCCAGAAACCGAATTTTTTGGGACCATGATACCGAAAAAAATAATTGACGACAAAACGTCTGTCCAGCCGTCTCTAGACACTAGGTCAAATTCAGTTGCTGTCTGGAGGAGAATTGTCGCAGTCAGCTGCTCTGATTATTTTCCGTGGTTTCTCCGACCTACACCAGGCGGCTGCCCTAACAAACGGTCACGAACTGCGCGCGATCTTTCCTGCCTCTTGCTGGCTCTATCCTTACCCCCTTACTGGCATTTACATTAACATGCACTACACTTGCCCTCATGCTGGGATACTGGTCGGGAGATCAGGGCTGGTGGGAGATCTTGTTTGGAATAGCCCTTGCCGACTGTAGGCCACCTCCCTAGCAGAACAACGTGCACTACACTTATGAGACTAATGTATAGTGCTCGATAGTTGACGCACCCAGAATTGCTAACACTCAATTAATCTGAATAAACTAGATTTGGAATTTCAAAAGAATATTTTGATTTTTGAGGGTACTTATCATGAAGTCTCCAATATTTTCAGAATTAAAACAATATTTGTTTTAAGCTTGTCCTTGAATAGTTTAAGGAACTAAAGAGACTAAGACTTAAAAGGATGGTGGAGGTCTTCTGTTCGTTTAAATTCCAGATTTTTTGAAATTTGCAAAAGGGTAAGTTTTTGGGATCATATTTGTACAACTATTATATTGAAGGTAGAGAATTTTTTGAAAATCAGCAATTTTCGTGTAATTTTGCACAAAATTTAGGCAGTTTTATTTTTTTTATTTTTTTTTTAAACACCCAAAAATGTTTCTAAACATTTTTTCATTACATGTGTCGAGGGATATATAGGGGTAATAAGGGGATATAGGGGTAAAAATATGATGCTATGTTCTGCAAACTATTTCAAACTATCATTTCAAAACTTTCCCAAGTGAAAGCGATCTAATATCTGTAAGAAGTTGTAAAGAAATGAAAGGTTTCTGTGAACTGCACTAGGCACATGGAATAGACAAAAGTTTCTAGCATGCAATTTTAAAGGTTTACAACACCACTTAAGTCTGTCGTTAATATCTTAATCGCCTTATGCCTTTTTGAACGAAAATATGAAATGCAAATATTTGTCCTTATTATCATACTTACATTCTTCTATATTTTATATTTTTGGTGTGCAAAACCTGACATTAGCTCTCAGTTTTCTTAAATCAAATAATTTAAATCTGTTTTTACAAGAGTCAGGTGTTTATGAAGAAATAAATGGCCTTGTTGCAACTTCAGTGTTTTTCTTGACAACAATCAGAACATTGAAATAAACTAAATGAAATGTTTCAATCTTGTACTCTTTTTGGAAGTAAAATGTTGAAAATATATAGGACTGTATTTTAAAATTAACTGCACATGCAGACACAAGAGACAGTATTACTGATTCTAATAAAATATCTCCCCGGCCACACAATATTTTCATGGTAAAATAATACTACATTTAACTCTTCCATAATGGTTACCTTTTTGGAAAGCTTAGTTGATATAGAGTAGTCAAAACTCAGCTATAGACATGTATGTGCAACATCGCATACTTATGACTGTTGAAACAATAACTGGTGCTGAGTGGAACAGAATGGGAATTGCTGCAAATTACAGTAAAATTCTGCTTTTGCTCTTTACGTTTTTTACGCATTCTATGCATACACTTTTTACTTATTCTCGGCACTTACATTTTGTGAATCCACTTTTTATTATTTCTGAAATCAAAAAAATTATCAAATAAACTAGTTGGAAATCATTGCAAACTTTTTATTGAGTTGGGGTAAATGTAAACTTCCCATTTTCTTCTAACAATAGAAATGCCATTGTCTTCTCTTCTTCTAACAATGAGAACATTGGTGCTCTGTCAAAGGCTTAAATCAGTGGATGGTAGGGACTCTAGGAAGTGCTGTTGCAACATTTAAAATTCTTTATGCATCAGTGTTAATTCACCTGTGATTTCTGATGTGACCTTGTAATATTGTTTATTATGCATGTTATTAAATACTGCATATTAAAGCACATTCTGATTATTATTATTTGTATGTATCTAAATACATTATTCTTGTAATTTTGAAGAAAACTTTTCCCTCATTTACAACTTAAATTAACAATTTTCTCAATTGTCACATGAAAAGGGTAAATGAAGGGTTACTGTATATCTAAAAACAGATGACGCTGAACTTTAAACCATTGTCTAATTGTGATGTTTTGTTTCTCTGGCTATTGTTCATACTTCCACTAAAGGTTCAAATCTGAAAGGAATCTATATAAATCTGTAAAGGAAGAGAAGTATAAGATTTGCTTTATTACGGATATTTTGAGTGATTAGAGTAATGTTGTCATTCAGGTTTTTTTTTTTTTAGAGGCTGAGAAGCAAGAACAAATTAACTTGGCAAATGGTGAAGCACAAGCCCTGCTCTCGCTTGCAGAGGCACGAGCGAAAGGTCTACAGCTCATTGCAAATGCATTAAAATCTAAGGTTGGTTGTGTACTACAAGTTATTGTAGTGCTTTAAGTTATAATAATCTAATCTCTTTTAACTTACACATTGACTGTGTTACAGTATTGTCTTTCAATGTTTTTTAATGGTTTCTGCACTTCCTACATTATTCTACAGAATTCTGAGAAAATACATTTTTACTCATTTTGGCTTTTACTGAAAGAGAACTTAAACTTATGCTGATACACTTCCTTAAATCTCCTTCTAATAAGCTTTATTTGATGATGGTGCTAAGGATGGATGTCAAGGAGTATATAAGGGATATTCAAAAAGTTCCCGGAATGGTGGTTAAGCATTCTAAATTCTAACTGGAGCCTCAGAGTTCAGGGATTTTATTGTATTAAAACAGGTATTCAAAAAGACATTTATTCTACCTAAAGTTGGGACTGCAAAAAAGCATTAAACAATTAAAAATCCCCTTTAAAGGAATTATTGCTAAAAGATTAATAATTGAAATTAATCATATTTCTATTTTAAATAAAGTTTGCATTAGCATTTAACCTGTAAGGAAACTATTTTTTATTTGTAATCTTGATACCACATTGCTATCCGGTATGATGGCTACACATTTTTTTGTTCACAACGCTTTTTCATCAAAATGCTTTTGTGGACACCCCTTTTGTATCTTGAAATAACGTCAGTGAAAATGGAATGATATTTTTCTTTCTTTCCACTTGTGTAATCACCATCATTGAGAAGGGCAGATTATATTGAGAGAACTCTCCTCTAAAGGGATTGGAGGCAATACTCAAAGGTAGAATGGGATTCCTTGTGAGCAAACGAAGCCTATTGGCATTAATGAAACTATTGGTGCTAAAACAGCATGTAATTTCTCGGCCTTAGTAATGGTTATATTATTTATGGCACTATTTCTCTCTGAATAAACACATCTCAGTCATAGTTTGTTAAAAAAGTTATTACAAATCATAGAACATCTGGTGCAGACACTATATATTTTCAAGCAAATATCAACACAAATTCAACAATTATAACGGCTTTTCATACTGCTAAATCATGTCTTAACAATTAGACTTATAATTCACAAAACTTCTGTCGCCATCTCACAGCATGGAATGCCATTGTTGCGTTCCAATCTGAAATTCCTTGAAGGCTAGCAATTTTTCTTTCATATCAGAAATTGTCGTAGGTAAATTGTCACCGGCTGTGTTCGACATGGCCTCAATCGTGGTGTCTCACAGTAATGGCCTGTCATTACTGAGTCACAAATGTAATTTAGTAGCATAATTGTATATTGTGACGTAGTGAAATAAGAAATAAATTTCAATAACAAAATAAAAATAATATATTAAAAGATTATGTACAAGTTAATGATTGCTAATCTTAAAAACACTCCGGCAACCTTTTTCCTTTAGAACACTGCTTTACGCAAGAAAATACAAGCCAACGCGTGATGGCGCGCTGTTGGACCTCCGTCCCGTGACAATACGCGTCACATGGCCTGACGCCAAAATTTAACCCGTCGGTGTGGCGACCGTGTGCCTACAGACGCGAGATTCGTCTGGCCCTTACTCTCCGGACATCTCGCCCACACTCCTACACTCCTCGTACATACACGTACAAGCTCCCCGATGCTAACTGAATTGAGAGCGCGGCGTGGCAGATGCGCCGCGTTAAAATTGAGGCATGAACACCCCCACCACTGCTTCCATAGATAGGCTCGCTGGCCAGCAGCTTGGTTTACGCCCACACACGGATTCTCAGGTTGGCCTCGCCTGCTTAACCGTAAGCGAGGCTCGCGGCTAGCATCCCTCGGTGTTTACAGCCTCGGTTATATTTGCTTCTGCGGCCTCTACCTGAGTCAAACCGCCAGAGCGCAAACTCCCGGAAGTTCAGGCTCAACCCTTGCCTCCCACCCGCGCGTACTTTCACCGACCTAACGGTTCTGGCCTCGTGTTAACGACGCCACAATATATACTATATATATATATATATATATATATATATATATCATATATATATATATTACATTTTCTCAGTTTTTCCGTTTCCTAATAGTAGAAGAAAAATATTACTTTTAGAATACTAAAGAAGAGTAAAACATCGTCATAAATTGCAATTTTCATTGAAAAAGTTGGTGTCGTTTTTAAGAAAATGACGACTAAGCGTTAAACTAAATTCAAATTTTGAAGCTCTTTTTCACACCGCGTTTTTGAATTTTTTAAAAACTTCATTGAAAGTCATTTGAGGCACTTTAACTCACAAATGCAACATATCGCTGGAAATGTGCATATTAGCGGGGGATATTTAAAAAAATACATTTGTGTAATTTTTAAAAGAAAAAAATACAGTGAAATAATTTTTATGTCAGCAATTAGCACTATACGTTCGAAAACTTAGAAAAGAAAAAAATTGGAGCCATTTCCAAAAATTAGCGTTTCAGCGTTTTTGAAAATGCGGTAATTTGTGCTAGTTTTCACAGAAAATGGTTGTTTTCGAAAAACTTTATATGCTTTATTATTGTGCATTCACATGTACTCATAAATATAATGTGAACAAATTTCTGCTAATATAAATATTAGCGACGTGAGAGAAAAGTCAACAAAATTACATTTTTGTAATTTTTAAGAAAACAAAAGAATTGAGCAAAATGGTGTTAATGTCATTTTATGAAGTGCATTTAGCACTACCACTACCAATATTTTAAAGCAAAAATTTTCATCCGTTTTTCAGAAAATCTTGTTTTTGTAATTTTTAAATTGCACATATTGCTTGCAACATCAAGCGAAAACTACTAAAATATTCCGAAAATGTACGTAACCTTAATGAAAGAACTGCCTATGAAGAACAAATTTCATCTGAAGGAAAAATCTCTATCTTCAATTTTATACTTGTAGGAAGCCGCCCGAAAGTTTTCAAAATTTCAAAATTTTCGATAATTCAGAGTTAACCGTGATAATCGGAGCTATACCACCTATAATTGTTTTTACTCTATTATTACAAGAAATGTAAAGAAACAATGTGGAGGCTTAACAAAATTTTGATAATGTTCAAAATTTTCTTTACATAAAGTACCCCCAAATTTTGGAAAGATTTTCAAAATTGCAATGGCAATGGAACTATTGCCAAAAATACAATGACACGGTATTTTTCGTGATTTAAAAAAGTGGAGGTAGTGGCGCAATTCTTTCTTCGGATTCGGACTCAACGCGCCGACAACAGAGAGAAACCGGTGGCCAGACTTTGGATCTGACAATTTTTTTTTTTCGAGTGGGTGCCAATGGAATTATTTTTGAAACAACGGGTTTTAACCCTCCTTTCCTTGCACTACTGTGCCTTATACTCTCTAGCTCGAGCAGCTGCTATATTCAGAGAACAAATGAACACGCGTTCCACTCGTAACCAGATCTTTACTAGATGTTACGAGTGTCATATTTTGCCACCTCATGTCCATCTATTTTAACACAGGTGCATCAATCAATGTAGGTGACAATAAAACTGTTAAAGGAATGTCATCTAATGGTATATGATTGATTGATTGGTTGGTGATTCTGGGCACGTTAACTACTGAGGACATAAGTCCCGTTAGTGTAGTGAATGTTCTTTCCTCCGGACGAGACGGTGGTCTTCCCCCTCTGGTTGGGAAAATCCGGCGCCGACCTACGTTGGCTTGTGGGGATTCTCCCCAACTAGGTAACTCCCAGCAACAGGGCACCGCCCCAGCCGGGAGCGCCGGGAGCGATCTGAGCTCCCGATCGCTTTCCGGGCATGTGTAGTAGTGTAGTGCATGTGAGTGTAAGGGTAAGTAAGGGAGAGGAAAGGACAAGGAAGAGGAAGGAAAAACCGCGCGCGGTCCGTTAGGATACTGCTCCAGCATTAGCCTGGTATTGATCGGAGAAATCACGAAAAACTATCTATCAGAGGAGCCGACCGCTTGAATTCTCCTCCAGACAGTGGCTGAATCTAATGTTATAAATCTTGTACATGAATCACTTCGGATGATATTTAATCGTTTCATCAGTTCTATTTCTGTGAGACCAATGCTGTCTTTATCCACAACAAATATTTCCCTCCAATAATACGTTGATTTGGAAATATGGTAAAAATATGGCAATATTGTGCAGATCATTGGCTGAGGGAATTTGTTCGGCAAATTGACGCGATAAACTGGCTTTTTTTCACTCACTTTTTAAATTGATTTATTTACTTAAAAATTTAATTTAATATTTTAATAATTAATTTAGTCTCGACAATATCATGGACTTTTTCCGTGACTTGAGCGGAAAATAAACCTTTTTTCCATTATCATTAAAGTAACACATTTCTTGTATATCTTCATATAATGGCTTGAGATGTACAATTATAACTTTTGTAGAAATGATAAAAACTGCAGTTTCCACGAATCAAACAATGATGTCTGGGTATGAGCAATAAAACTATAAGATCAACACGTTACGTCAAATTTCACCAATTACCAAACGTTACTAAAGATCTTCCACGAATTCTTCGAATGGCATGGCGAATCAAGTGGAGCAATCTACTGACACCATCTATTTACGTATATTCAAAATTCTGCCGACTCTCCTAGCTGTCCAAAACATGCATTGTGCATTTTCTGAACTAGGAAATTTTTCACACTCTATTAAGGAATGTATTTCATACTTTGTAAAATATACCATATGAAGAACAGTATTTTCGTCCACTTCTGTATGTAACACGGCACCATGTATCTGAAGGTTTTATGTATTGTAACCACACCCTCCGTGTGGCTGCCCCGACTCACCTGATTACCTGTATTTCGTCCGATATTCGTACAGCGTTGCCCCGGCTGCTGAGTCTGCAGTACGGGCCAGAATTCATCATCGGCTGCCGGGCGGTGTCCTTCCGACGTTTGGCGTGGGGCGGTCGGCGGCAGGCTGCGCCTCGCCCTTTTTGCCCCTCAGTAAAGCGGTCGGGCGCAGGCGGCGTCCTCCCGGTGGTCACGATCCCGGTCACGTAAGCGGCTGTTGCCGGTCGGCTGTGTCTAAGACACAGCCCACTAGCGTGTCTTGTGTGAGATTTTTGTGTCTTTTTGCCCACTAGCGTGGCGGTAGGGGTGGCACGCGGGGTGTAATGCGGTCGGCGGTGCTGCGTCGATGCGGCGTGGTAGCGTTGACTGACACCAACAGCGCTGGTCCAAGCATTGCCGGCACGATTCGCTGCTGCGTTAATCGGCCCGGCCTGTCGTCACTCTGGGCTCGCTGTCGGGCACTTATCTTCACGGCCCAATGCAATTGATGAGATGCGGCAACGAGGCAGGGCATCTGCTGGCGTTCCCCCGTGAGTCGAAGCATCTCGCCCCTGTCCACACCTCGGCAAAGCCCAC